ACCTAAATTTACTGCTCATTTTTAATAAGTGCTATTGTTTATAATAATTTTCAAATATTACTCAAAAATAAGACATTTTTACTCAAACCTCCCTTGGATGAACCCTCCCTATAATGAACACTTTTGTTGTGCAACTGGCCGTTCACTATGGAGAAGTTGCACTGTATATCAAATTATCGTAACATTTAAAATTATACTATAGCTATATGTGCACTAGTAAGTGTATAACATTAATTTTTATACAATTAACTGATATTATATTTGTTAAACAAATTATAAATAATGTTTAACAGGCTTTAATGATGGTTAAATTTACTTTACTTAAAGTTATATTATTACTATTTTAGTAATCAAAATTTAGAATCTGAATAGTGTGCATTAAAATGACACTAAATTTCCATAACTAAACTATTAAATAATGTATACCTGGTCGTATTAATAATGGATCCAAATTTAATATAAATAATTTAGTAATATTTATTTGTTATAGGAATGTGTAGTTCATATGGCACAGCCTTTACTACTCGGATATGTTATTGATTATTTTGCTGGCGCTGACCGAATAACATATGACCATGCTTGTATGGCCGCCGGGGGTGTTTGCTTTTGCACCATATTATACATTATGTTTTATCATATCATCTTGGCACGTTTTAAGCAACTGGGAATGCGCACTCGAAGTGCCTGCTGTACCCTAATGTATAAAAAGGTTAGTTATATTTAAAATAATACTTATAATTACAAATTTCAATTATATTTTTAAAATAGTCCCTCAAACTGAACCAGTTATCAATGAGAGAGACAACTGTGGGTCAAATTATAAACTTAATGTCTAACGATGCAACTCGATTTGATAAAGTATAAAATGACTTTAATTTAATAGTGAATCTAAGTTAATAATTATCCTAGTTTATATCACTGATTTTATAATTATTTGATTTTAGTTTGCACTATATGCCAGTTATTTTATAATAGCGCCCATTCAGACGGGCATATCCATATTTATAATGTACACATATATGGGATGGGCAAGTTTGGTGCCAGTTGGTTTTATAATTTTACTTATTGTGTTTCAATTGTTCATGGGCAAAATGTTTTCAAAAGTTAGGTATGTAAATGATATTATTATATTGTATTATCGTTGTTATAAGTTATAACACATTTATGGTTTTAATTTATTTAATTAATTACCTAGATTAATGACCGCTAAGCTCACTGACAATCGGCTCCGGCATATGGTTGAGATCATATCCGGTATGCGAGTCATCAAAATGTATGCCTGGGAACAGCCCTTTGCAGATATCGGGGCTGAGGCACGAAAGTAAATGACCATAATTTATACAATTTGTTAATTACTAATATACCATAATATAATTGTTAAAATAATTAGTCAAGAAGTGTCGTGTATAAAGAGATCTTGCATTCTAAAGGCAATCAACATGTCGTTGAATAATATGGCAACCAAATTGATCTTATTTACTAGTTTTATCACCTTGGTACTCACCGGTGATGTACTGACTGCTAAGACTGTATTTGTGTCAACGATGCTATTTAATTACTTAAGAACTACTATGACCTGGTACTTACCACAGGCAATCATGTTTGGCGCCGAGTTATTAGTTTCTTTAAAAAGAATACAAGTAATATTAACCATGGTGTAAAAGTTTAATAATTAACACATTTTATTCTTTCAGGAATTTTTACAATTAGGAGAAACACAAATAAAATCCGTTCAAAACAAAAATAGATTATTTAAAAGTTGCAATCAATGGCTAAGAATGACAAAACAATTGCCAAAAAATTGCAAACAATCGCCCGGAGTGTTCAATAATAACATAACCGCCAAATGGAGTGATGTGTGAAATAATATTTTGTGTTTTAAACATGATATTTATTATTCTTAATAACTTATTAATAGGAGAGCTCGTATCCAACCCTTCAAAATATTTCTACACATTTAAGACCCGGGGATTTATTGGCTGTTATCGGACCGGTGGGGGCGGGAAAGGTATGACACCATTGGATAATAGACTATATCGGGGTTTCGGTTATATTTCCATAGTGTTTTGTAACATTGTATTTGAATGCTTGCCAAATTTTTGTGGTTACTATCAACAAACCCTTGTAAATGTTATTTGATACATCTATTATTTAGCTGTAATTCTGTATTTGAAAATTATTAAATTTATTTTAAAAACTATTTATTTAACCCGAAATAAACTATAGAGAATAATTCGAAAATTTAGTCTATTTTAACTTTTAATCGAGGGGACTACACAAGAGACCTACAAAAATAATATATTAGTCTTAGACGATGTATTATCTATTAACCAATGACATAAATTGTTTAAAAGAGTAAAATCCGGTAATCATAACTCCAATAACCATTCCCGAACCCGCCAACCCCGAGAAGTGAAAAATGCTGCGGCAAAAGACCGGGGTAAATCATAGTAAAGATTTTCATATATGATATTGTTGGTATACATAAGCTTACGTCGTACAACTAGTTGTAACTGTTTAAAAGTGATTGGGGAGGTTCCAGGATCTGATATAGAGACATATACCAAAAATATAGCCATTTTTAGCCTATTTTTAGACAGGATTTTTAGAAATTCAACCAAAAAAAATTAACTAAATTTTTGTTACAATTTCTTTCATACCTAAAATATACTCCAGTTATCCCTCTATGAGATGACTGTTTTCAACTTTCTCTACAATTAGTCCTTTATGACAGAAATGGCAAAATAAAAGTAGTGGTCGAACTAGACATGACTCACTTCTTTCATACCTAAAATATACTCCAGTTATCCCTCTATGAGATGACTGTTTTCAACTTTCTCTACAATTAGTCCTTTATGACAGAAATGGCAAAATAAAAGTAGTGGTCGAACTAGACATGACTCACTTCTTTGGCTCTCAGTGCAGCCATTTTTAATTCAAAGTCATTGAACAGCCGGCCGAAAAATGGTCAATAGTTGGCAATTATTATGACCAATACACTATATGAAATAAATTGTTGCTTCATATTAAAAATATAATTTTTAATTTTCATTACCAAAATATGATTACTTTCCCGAAGGCGTAATAAATTATAAAATAATAATTTTCAACAATTTAGAGCTCATTATTGATGACAATTCTAAAAGAACTGCCGCTTCTGTCGGGGAGTATAGAAACGGTGGGATCGATAAGCTATGCCTCTCAAGAGTCCTGGAGTTTCAATACTAGTGTCCGAAATAATATATTCTTTGGTACCGAATATAATAAATCCCGATATCAACGAGTGGTAGAGGTGTGCGCTTTGGAGCGAGACTTTGAGTTATTCCCGTTCGGAGACAAGACATTAGTCGGTGAGAGAGGAGTACAGCTATCGGGAGGACAGAAGACCCGCATCACGTTAGCCAGGTTTGTGTATTTTCTATAATAAAATAGAATAGTTATTTACTACAGATATAACAAGTTTATTAAAATATTTAGTAATAATTATTATAATATCATCTTGCCTCTGCTGTAATTACATTAAAGACTTTCAAATGTTTTATTTATCGTACAATTGAATAATAATCGTGATTTCTACTTTACATAATTATAATGCTTTGTATTTATGTAGAGCTCTGTACCGAAACTCAGACATCGTATTAATGGACGACCCGTTGAGTGCTGTCGACACTAGTGTTGCCGAACATATATTTGATAAGTAATGCAATGATTGTTATAATTATAATTACAAATAAGTCTAACATATAATGT